TTTTGCAGTTCGTTACCTGAAGAGGTCCCCGGCATCACCGTTGCATATTCAGAGTTGCCACTAGGTGGGGCTGTACACATACTTCTGAGAAGGTGCACACTTTGGAGGCTTGGAAATCAGGTCTCTGAAGGTTCATTCTGGTTCTTGCTTTGGAGGGCAGGCAGTAACAAAAGCTGTTAACATTAATTATCTCATAAAAATAAGATAAACATAATTGAGATGCCTACAGTCAAGCAGGGACGCCCTCAAGCAGGTTTCTCATCTCGCCTCTGGTCACCATAGAGAACAGCAGTCGGCTTCCATGTAAGTGCGCCACGCTCAGGCCATTCGCCCTTCCCTCCCCTCGTTCATCCCTTAGCGTGTGCACCTCACATTCACCGCACGTATAAGGCTCACAACGCCTTTTGCGCAGCGCAAAGGACTAGTGGGTGCGCGTTATGAGTCTGCAGGTTATACACAGCCTGGGCTAATACGATGCAGGACGCACCAGCTTAGGAGAGGCATCGTGCAGTGTTACCAGCCTCATTCCACGGCAGAACTCCCGTAAAATGGTAACAAATTAAGAAAATCTCCTAATCAACACTAACAGTTATAAAGTGAATCATTTGAGTTGAGAAAACTCCTACAATGCAAAGTCAGCAAGGTTTTTCCAGGGACGGCCATTCCTTTCATCAGAGTACCAACCACATAGATTTAAGCACAGGCGCCTGCTCACTCAGTGGAAGGCATGGCCCTCGTTAGTGCACCCACGTATTTCTGAGCACTTTGAAATGGCTGGGAAGCACCAGGGTGGTGCTTTGGCATCAGAGAGACTCAAATTCAAATATAACTTCTGTCCCCTTCAGTCTGTGCTTCTTATTAGAGACAATAACCTATTCTCAGCACAGTTGTTGTAAGGATTAGAAAAAACATATCCAGCATCATGAGCATGAGGTCCGGAGGTGTGTGGTCAGTAGTGGTGGTATTTATAGTTAAAGGGCAAGCCCATTCCTAAGCAGTTTTGCTGTATCCGTGATATCCAGAGACATCTTCATCCTTCCCCATTGGACTCCAGATTTTCTGTCAGCCTGCTGAGCTCGCTGTCCCTGGATTTTTTCTTCATAGACTCTCACCAGAGGCACCATGTGCGGCTTCTGCCCCTCTCTCTGGAGCCCTGCCTCGGTGAGTCCTCGCTTCCCCAAGTCTGCGCTCATTCTGTTCCTAACAACATCATCCCTCCTGATGCCACGTACTTCCTCTTTACTTGCTCAAGTTCTCTGTCTTTTTCTCTCCACACATCCATGGCCTTAAGTTATGTTGCTCCCTCTTCACTATCTAGTGCCAGGGGTAGCACACTTTTTGGCATCTCTGGGCCACGCTGGAAGAAGAAGAGTTGTCTTGGGCCACACATTAAATGCATTGTGACAAGTAAAAATCTCATAATTACCTGGTTCCCGCTGGTTTCCCTGCTGAGGAGCTCATCAATGACGCTTTAGACCTCTGAATATGAGCTTCAGCTTACATGCTGTACCCAACAGCTGTTGAAATATATGAGTTTTGCCCTGGCCGAATGGCTTAGGTGGTAGGAGTGTCGCCCTGTACACCAAAAGGTTACAGGTTCAATTCCAGTCAGGGCACCTACCTAGGTTTAGGGTTTGGTCCCGGTCAGGGCATGTACAGGAGACAACCAGTTGATGCTTCTCTCCCTCTCTCTCTCAAATCAATAAACATATCCTCAGATAAGGATTTTATATGCATCCCTTTCAGCAGTGATGTTTACCCAAATAAACGGTCATAGGCCTTTTGGGGAACATCTGGAGAAACAATCTGGGTATTCCTGTCAAGGTGTCACGGAGTCCAAGTTCTGGCGCCTCGACTCCTCTTCATTTGGGGACCCTGGGTCTGAAAGCTGGCTCAGATCTGAAGGCTGGGCAAAGGGACGATGACTCCATGGCGGCAGCTGATCTGAGCCTTCGCATTCATTCTTGATTTCTTTTGACTCTCATGCTAAGTGGTCCTCCGGGGGGTTGTCCCGATAGCCCGCCCCATGCTCACCATGTTCTGCTCACCCCTCTGCGACCCACGCAGCTCAGGCCCCTCCCGCCTGCCAGGCTGGCCTTTCTGCCAGCAGGGCAGGTATGGGCACCTTGCATCGGACCCCTGTCCGTGTGTGACAATGTGGCCTCTACTGTCTGGTCACCTGTACCCCCTTGCCACTGGGAAACGCAGCGCTGTCACAGCATCTCCTAATAAGGCCCTCATGGATATCCTCCTCAACCAACATTTTTGTCACCGCACTAAGTAGAGCGTCCCCCAGGCCTCCCTCCCCAGGAACATGGGCAGCCGGGGGGTGCTTCCGTCTTATGTATAACGTTACAACATTTCCACGTTTCTAAACCTTTTGGACCCTTCCTTCAGTCTCCCAAGGCAATTTTTGGCACCTCTACTTAATTTGATGAAGTCTGTTACTTTTTCCAAACTTCTATGAGTAAGCAAATAGTATACATTAAACCTGTTTCCCAGGACCTCTGCCAAGGTGTTAATCCTGCATTTTCAGGGAGTGGCTCCGTGTCAATCAACTCTCTTACTCATCTTTATGTTCCAGCCACGCCCTTGATCCACGGTCTTCTAGATCCCCTCCCAGGCAGGCTCCCCGATGCCTGCGAATGCACAGTAGCCAGTTGTTACGGCAGCTTTGAGGCACACAATGTCTTCTCCGTTAGCAGCCTTAGCTCCTGCTCAGTTTATGTGGAGATTTAACCAGTTTATGAATCTGGTGGAAGGAAAGAGATGGAAGCAGATCCTGAAAAGGACAAGCAGTGCCTTATCTGAGGCCCCTAAATATTCGTGACGTAGGGAGGGGACATGTCTTCCAATAGGAAAGAGAGAGTTCAGGGGAGTCTAGAAGGTCACGGTTCTCAACTGTATCTCCCCAGAAATCGGCACCCTGAGGTCCTACTTGCTGCCTGTCAGAGCCCTGTCTTTGGAACAGGAGACTTGGTTAGGCTGAAGGGACCTTCTTTGAAACTCCATTGTTTTCGTAATTAAATTCCATGTCTGTTCTTCACTTTGTCCATCCTGAGTTCAAAGAGTGAGTGTCTCCTTACATGTTGGCCGAGAGGCCCTGTGACAGTCACACGTTGCTTTAAATGCAGCTGAGCCTATCGTTTTTGCTCCTTCGCAGGCTCTACCAAATTCCAAAGTCCTTACAGTTACCATTTTCCCTGAACCTCTCAAATAATAGGCCATCAGAGTGAAAACTTGTAATTACATTTGCTATAACATTCCAGGACCTGTCTAAACTGCCAGGAATGGGTTCTTACTGTCATTGGACCAGAAAGTGACCCACCTCCAGACTCCCTTCATGTGTGGCTGCCTTCAGGGCAACGTCCAATGCCCACTGCTCGAGGGTTGCCTAGAAATCGAACCTAAAACGGGGATTCCTGAGGAAGTGACTTCCTGTGGCCTCCTCTCTGGGGACGGAGACTGGCAAGAGGAGAGCAGGCCAAGGGAAGAAAGATCATCAGAGGTGTGGTCTCAGCTGGAGACCAGCTCAGCCTGGTCCCATGGGACCTCTGACAAAAGAGCCGGTCTCGTGTCCAGGCAAATGGAATGGCTTATTGTGTCTCTCTGCCAGTCAGTCATTCTCTGTAGGGAGGGAGGTAGTAGCAGTACAATTTATAGTAGCCAAGTGCTGGAAACAGCCTAAGTGCCCATCAGTAACTGAGTGGATTAAAAAGCTGTGGTACATTTATACATTGGAATACTACACAGCAGAAAGAAGAAGGAATTCCTACCCTTTGCAACAGCATGGATGGAACTGGAGAGCATTATGTTAAGTGAAATAAGCCAGGCAATGAAAGACAAATACCATATGATCTCACTTATAAGAGGAATCTAATGAACAAAATAAACTAACCAGCAAAACAGAACCAGAGGCATGGAAACAGGGAACAGACTAACAGATGCCAGAGGAAAGGGGGTAGGAGGAGGGTGAAAGAAGGGGGAAGGACTAGTCAAAGAATATGTATGAATGACCCATGGACACGGACAATGAGGTGGGGATGGGCTGTGGGAGCGGGGGGTGGGTAAGGACGGAGGAGGGCAAAGAGGGGGAAATTGGGACAGCTGTAATAGAATAAACAAGAATAAAATATTTTTTTAAAAAAACCCTCCTGCATGAGTTGACTCCAGTTCAGCTGAGGGCAATTCTGGAAGAAGGAGCAGTCAGTAAGCCCCTAGCAACCAACTCCCACAGTAGTTGGGGGAGGCAGCAGTGACCTGGTACAGGAGACCCCGAAGAGAGGGGACCAGCAGCTTTCACTTGCACAATCACTTCCAAAACATTGCCTCAGAGAAGACAGACTTTTCTGACATATCCTGAGAGACAGATCTCACATACAAATAGAGTTGGCTCAAGTAACTTGGCAGAAGATTCCAAGTTTGAGCAAATTTCACAGGAGCTGTAGATACATGATTTCACTGCTTGTGGGTGGGGGGTTAGAGCCCTGATTAATCTTCACAAACTCAGAACAGCTCTTGTTACCCTCAGCGCAGCTACTAACATCATATTCCAAAAAAATAAATGAGGTATTAAAAAGTTTTTTTTAAAGATTAGTCCCCTCTCTTTTACATGTGAAATTAATTAATCAATTAATTTTGTATCGTGATGAAGACAAGAAATCCGATTTAAAACCTGGTCACTTCCCAAGGAAACAAATTATAAACAAAAAAGTAGTTGAGCTAATAGAAGTCTACACAGAAGTATGCATTTCCTTCCTTCCTCCCATGCCACAAGGATGTGCTTCCTTGAGTTCATCAGTAGATACAAGGAGAAACCGAGGCTATGAGATTCCTGGGCAGAGGGTAGGTTTCATTGTTACCTACCTTGTCTGCTTCCAGGGGTACATGCTGCTTGGTTTTTGTGATGATGAGGATGGTGACAGAGTAGTTAGGGTGTCCTAAGTTCCTAAGTAGTCTGCAGTAGGGATCATACCGCCTAAAATTGACTAAGAGGAGACTTAATCCTTGAAAAATTGACAGCAGTGCTTCACAGTATCCCGAAGGACCTCTTTGACTTTGTCATTTCGGAGGGTGAAGATGAAAGGGTTCAGGAAAGGGGTTAACACAGAAATCAGCAGGGAGACTATCTTATTGTACTCGGCTGCCTGCGTTTGCTTGGGTTTCACGTAGAGGAACAGGCAGGTGCCATAGCCGATCACCACAAAGGTGAAGTGGGAGGCACACGTGGAGAAAGCCTTCCTGCGGCCAGAGGCCGAGGGGATCTTGAGGATGGTGGAGATGATGTACGTGTAGGAGACAACTGTTGGTGCCAGAGAACCAACGATAATGAAAACAGCCATTAAAAAAAGAACAAACTCTGTGAGAACAGTGTCGTCACAGGACAGCTTGAGCAGTTGCCCTCGGTCACACAAAAAATGGTCTAGCACATTTGACTTGCAGAAGGTCAGCTGAAACGTGGCATAGACTGGCCAGATTTCAGAAAGGAACCCAAACAGCCACGACACGCTTACCACCCAGATGCAGGTGTGGCTGTTCATAATGATGTTGTACCTCAGAGGATGACAGACAGCCACGTAACGGTCCACAGCCATCGCTCCCAGTAATGCAAACTCTGTGGTCCCCAAAGCAAGGTACAGGAAGAGCTGGGCGACGCATCCAGCCAGGGATATTGTCTGCATCCCAGGGAGCAGCAAGCCCCAGAGCATGATGGGGACGATGACAGATGTGATCAGGATCTCCAGGGCAGAGAGGTGGCCGAGGAAGAAGTACATGGGGGACTGCAGGCGCTTGTCCACACAGACAGCCACGACGATGACCGTGTTTCCCATTAATGTCACTGAGTAGAAGAAGAGGAAGGTAGCAAAGAGGATATGATGTAGTCCTTGGGAGCCAGGGAAGCCAAGGAGACAAAATTCAGTGGCACTAGAGTAATTGCTCATCGTGTAGCCCTTGTTCCTGCTCCGTGGGAAACACAGGTATCAAAAGAGAGGTCAACCTGCTCCACATGGTCCAACTCTTGCCAGAGAAGGGAGACAGACTAGGGAAAGTATTTCCTCCTGACCATCAGGTGAGCTTCCCCTCCTACTCTACACAACGGCAGATGTAAATATTGCCTCTTCAAATCTAGCCCCAAGCCAGCTGTCTGGAGTAGGGGAAGCCAGCTTCTCCTCTGCTGGTGTGAAGGAAACCTTCCTTGTCTTTTCCCTCCTGGATGTGCCTTCTCATAGGGGGCAGAGGCTATGTCACTACAAAACTGCTTAGTCTGGCAGCCGAATCAATCAGTCCCTGGGGGTGCTGGCATTGTCCTATTGGCCTCTTAGGTTAATTGTATCAGATGATAAATGGCATCCCAATGATGTTCAAGGCACAGGACTTTGAACCCCAGCCCCCGTCCACACTGGTACTACACACACCCACCCTGGGGCCAGCAGAAAAGTGACAAGGAGTCCAAGAAAACGTCTCTATTTTCCCCAGATCTTATGACCTCCAAATTACAGAGCAGCAAGATCTCCAAATGGGAACTCTGGAGCTTGGGATAATTTCCCAGGGCTGATTCATCCTTCTCTAATTCCATTTTTCCCCCCTCCAAAAGTCTTGGGAGAAAGGAAAGATGACATCTGGTACTGACGAAAATAGATCCAAGGCCGTCAGCTTCTTAGGATGCCTGGATCTCTAACCGTCACTTCATCCACCCCGTCACTCAAATGCACCTCGTCAGAGAATTCTTTCCAATTCCACCCCACCAAAGTAGGAAGGAAGTGATCAGCCTTGGACTCCAGTTTCTTTATAGCACTTATTCCCTGATATCATGTTATAATATGTGTTTAATTGTTCATTGCATTCCTTCATTTCATATAAAACAAATGCAGCTGCAAAGAGAACAAACAAAAATCCCCTCCCTGACCAGTGTGGCTCATTTGGTTGGAGCGTCTTCCTGTACACAGAAAGGTTGCGGGCTTGATTCCCTGTCAGGGCACATGCCTGGGATGCAGGTTCGATCCCTGGTCAGGGAGCCTGCAAAAGGCAACCAATTAATGTTTCTCTCTCACATCTATATTTCTCCTCTCCTTCTCTCTCTCTCCCCTTTCCTCTCTCTCTAAAAAGCAATGAAAAAATGACCTCAGGAAAGGATACAAAAAATCCCTGCCCTGTGGAGCTTAGACTCATGTAGGGGGTAAAATACACATGATACAGAAAACAATAGTATATGTAAGATGTTAATTTGTTAATCATGCCATAGAAAAAATAAAGCAAGAAAGAAAGAGGGGCAGAAAATTTATTTTTATTTATTCACTGCTCATCAATGACATTAGACTCTAACTCTATGAGGCAAGGTCTTATCATTCATATATACATATGAGCAAAATAAGTAGTGCTAAAATTTTTTTGTAGACGAGTATATGGGCATGTGATATATAACTCAGTAGGTCTTGGTCCTTGGCCAGGGCTAATTAGGTCATGTGCTCACAACCCCTCTCTTCCTGGCCTCCCTTCCTGTCTCAAATTACCATCTTCCCTTCCCGATGCAACCTCCCCAATATCGCCGTCATGGATGGGCAAACATGCCTCCAGGGCGGAACTGATGGAAGAGCTTTGTAGCCTGCTTTTCCACGCTCTCTGCATAACCAGCATGAGATGAAGACGGACAGAAGGACTCTGACTGACATCAGGGGCTGTGTCTGTCCCTAGCATCGGGTTGGAGAGGAACGGCATCTGCTCTCTGCTGCACGTGGGGGGCTTGGAAATGAGCCCATCTTTGCTATCGCTGCCCCAGCTCACGCTGCAGGCTCTGGGTGCCCTGGTGTTAGAGAGCAGCCAGCCCCAGAACACTCCATCCTACTCTCTCCTCCACAGGGAGAAAGCTGCGAAGACACTCACCTCTGGGCTTCCCCACCACTGTAATGCTCTCCAGGGCTGGCCAAGGCTGGCTCCTGCCGGGCTCCTGCTGAGCCGCTTGCTGCTGTCTCCACTCCTGGTGAAAAAGGAAACTGTCCTCAGGGAGGACCTTAGGGAAAAGCTCCAAAATAACAAAGTTGTAGGGAGTTGAGGGTCTCTTTCTCTCGCCCCTTCCTTCCCACTTCCCTCCTTCCCAAGGGGACTTGTCCCTGAGATACCTGTTTTTAATTAGCCCAGGTTCATGGTGTCCCTAAGCAATCAATCTGGGGAGAGCAGAACAAACTTTTAGTTATGCCTATTTTGACCAATTAAGTTGCAGAACTTTTTCAAGTTTTTGTTTAATGCGAAAACACGAAATCTCACCAAACAGAGGCTTCTCAGTTCCAAGGCTGCCTTTTCCAAGACCCCAAGTCTAGGTTTCCAGGAGATGTCTCATCCTCTGAGGTCTCACACTCTACGCAGATGACCCCTTCTGCCTTCCATACAAGGCCCTCCCTGGATTCCCTTGGCTATTTGGAGCTAAAGTCAGCCCTGACTTCCCAGTAGGAGACACCACAGTGACCTCTAAAACATACAGCCGTATCTAAAAAAGCCCGCATACTAGTCTCAGTCAAAGCCTTAACATCATCGAAATCCCTGCGAGGCCTGGTTTCTCCTTCACTCGTTTTACGGAGGCTCCTGTTCCTAACTCTGCGGGCCCTTCAGAACTCTGTGGGGAGGTTCTACCCCGAAATTCAACTCCACTCCCTGGTGTTGTCTCCGGGTTCCACTCCTCCGAGCATATGCGCACCTGCGCCACTTAGGCAAGAGTCCTCAGCCTTCTGTTTCTATAGCACAGCCCTGATTGTCGCCAGCTGGGCACTTCAAAACAGGGACCGTGTAAGGACAGCCCAGTGTCGACACTTAGATTTACAATGCAAATCGGAAATCTGCTTGGTGCTGGAGGGAGACAGAAAAAGAGAGAGTTACAAAACATTATCTGGATTTATGATTTCATTTCAAGCATACCTATTAAATCTGAGACTATCAGTTGGTGCAGAAGGGAATAAATTAGGAGTAATCTTCCTTCCAGTTCCCCATATTACCCAAGTCCAACCAGATTGCCACGTATCTTAGAGGAATTTCCTAAGTTTTTGTCTACATTTTTTTCCCCAAGAAAATGCTGTGAAAATCTGTTTTATGCACTGTTCTCTCTCACTTAATAGTTATAAAAGATATTCCTATATTAATACATATTGGCCCACTTCTTTTTTTGCATAATATTCCATTATATGGATGTACCATTCTTTATTGGCCCTCTATTGGTCAATTTTTGTTTCTATTTTTATGGAAATAAGTAATGCTATAAAATACTTAGACATTTATAAGTCCATACACATTTATATTAGCTGGAATAAATCCCTAGAGCTGGAATTTCTCGGTCAAAAGGTAGACATATTGTAGTCATTGCTCTTTATTGGCACCATATGATACTCCAAAGATTTTGGGTTGATTTGCAAATCAGTAAGACTTCATGGAGAAGAGACTCTTGATTTCCTGACTTACTATCAACCAAACATATAATCAAAATTTCATTTTAATATGAATTAAAGAGATCAAAAAATAAGATATCTTTAAACACTAACCAATTGAAAAAAACTGATAAAATGGAAAATCTTTTGAAAGATAAAAATTATCAAAACTGTCTGAAAAAAGAACTTAAATCCTAAATATATTAAATAAATCAATTCATAATTAATAATATTCCCACGTGAAAGACTACCAGTTAAGATTTTACTGGTATATTCTAACTGATACCAATCCTCCATAAAATCTCCTAGAAAGTTAAGCAGAAGGGAATACTGCCCAATTACCCTTCAAGAATTATCTTGACATTAAAGACATCACAAGAAAATAAACCTACAAACCTGTATCCCTCATGAACACAGATGCAAAAATCTTTTATAGTAAAGTACTAGAAAATCAAAACCATTGATTCATACATAAAGAGAATAATAAATATGCTATAACAAATGATAATTTTATTCCAGAAATGCAAAGTCAGTTCAACACTAGGAGATTAATCAGTACAGTTTACCATGTTAACAGAATTAAACAGAAAAACCACATGATCAGTTCAATAAGGGAAGAAAAGGCAAAGGCATCTGACAAAAACCAACAGGCACTCATCAAAAACTCTGATCAAACCAGGAACTAAAGTGATCTGCCTCAGACCGATAAAGAGCATCGACCAAAAATCCTAGTGCTAATGATGACAGGCCCAGTCTTTCCCTCTAAGACAGAGGACGAGGGAAGGATATCTGCTTTCACCACTTTCCATCAACATTATACTAGAAATCCTAGCTGACACAGTTTTAAAAAAAGAGAATTAAATTAAAAGCATACAGGCAGGAAATAAATAAAAGTATTTGTTTGGAGATACATAATTCTAACTGTAGAAAATCCTAAGAAGTCCACCAAAAAGCTACTAGAACTAATAAGTGGTTGTCAAGGTCACTGGACTAAGGCTCGATATACAAAGACCCTATTGTATTGCTATACATTAGTCAAGAACAGTGGAAATAGAAATAAAATATTTAATGTACAATAACACAAACATGAAAACTAAGGGATATATTTAACAAACTATGTGCCCAGACCTATACAATTGAAACTGTAAAACATTGCTGAGAGAATCTTAAAACCTATAGATAGAGAAATATTCTATTTTCATGAATCAGAAGACCAGTTTTGTTAGAATGTCAATTCTCTCCAAACTATAGATTCAATACAAGTTCAAACAAACCCAGGAAGCTTTTTATTAACATTGAAAAGCTGACTTAAAGATTTCTGTACAAATATGAAAGACCTAGAAAAGCCAAAATAATTTTGAAAAAGAGGAACAAAGCTGGGGAACTCACAATGTCTTACTTAGAAACTTACTATAGTAAGTTATATAAATGTCTAATCACTCTGTTGTACACCTGAAACTAATATAAAATTCTATGTCAACTGTAATTTAAATTTCTTTTTAAATTAATGGAATAAAATTAGAAAAACAGACTTACTATAAAGGTACAGTAATCAAGACAGTATATTATTGACATAATATCATGTAGATCTATGGACCTGTAGATCAATGGAATAGAAAATTCAAATACAAACCCAAACATAGATCTTCAACTGATTCTTAACCACACTAAGTGTTGATAAGGGTGTGAAGCAACTTGAACTTTCATACCTTGCTGGTGGGAAAGTATAATGGTATAAGCAACAACAATTAAACGTACACTTATCTCACAAGCTTGAAATTCAATTCCACTCTTATATGTGGATATATTCCCAAAGTAAATGAAAACATAGATCCACACAAAGACATGCTTATGAATGTTGATGCAGTTTTATTCACAATAAAATTCAAACAACCCAAATGACAATCAATAGGTGAATGGATGAGTAAATGGTAGAATCTCCCTGCAATAGAATACTACTCTGTCATAAAAAAGAAATCAACTGCTGATAGATGCATCACCATGGATAAGTCTCTACAGCATTATATTATGCACAAGAATCAGAAATAAAGTCAATACTTGGTTATTCCATAATACACTCAAGAAATGAAAAACCTGCTCTCTAATAACTGAAAGTAGCCCAAAGCTGGAGTTGGGGATGAAGACTGACTTGAAAGGGGCACAGAAACGCCTTCTGGGTGAAGATTATGGGGCATAATTTGGTTGTGGTGATGGTTAGATGTGTATATAAACTTGTAAAAACTCATTGAAACTTACACTTAAAGTAAGTGCATTCATTGTTTAAAAACTAACCTTAATAAAGTTGAAAATATTTTTTAAAAAATAAACTATAAATATGTAACAGGATATAGTTCATCACTGGGGGCTTGAGGAAGAGGGAAATAACTTAAAGTCGGGTGGAACGTTCACTGGAGTGAATCAGAAGATATTAGAATAAATAAGTAGACAAAGTGAGATAAGTAAGAATCTGGCTGTGGTGTGGGTGTGAGGATGGGGGAAGTAAAAAGAACACAGGAAGAGAAAAGGGGTAAAGTAACCCTAAAAGATGTCAGATTGTGATAAGTAACTTCTAGACCTTTCCCCGAACTGAAGGCTCTTTCACCAAGCTCTATCGACTTTGTAGTAACTTTCTGCAAACCCTTCTTAAGGGAATAGAAACTTTTCATTATAAAAAGGAAGACAGATATCTCCCACCAATAGAACTTATAAGACTGAGAGCATAGCTTTCAATGTACTCAAGGCAGGACCAGATCTTGGATGAACCACTGAACTCGGAATCGGGAACCTGGGTGCTCACTCCTTTTTGTATTTCTTAGCTGTGCCATCTTCAGTGTGAGCTTTGGTCTTCCCATCTGAAATATCAGGGCATTGATGGACATGCTGTCTCATTTTACTTCTGCCTCTACCTTGCCCGAAGTGAAGGAGCAAGGAGCAGAAATGCACTTGTCCTTGAGTCTTTTCATAACCTGCTGAGCTTCCCAGCTTCCTGAAGAGGCTCCCCACTCCTGACCTGTTGTCACGGAACCCTCTGCACACCTAACCTTTTTGTCAGAATCAGTCCTTTACAAATAATGTCATGAGCCGGTATAGGCTACCCCAGACCCAGTACCTAAATCCACCTAGATGACTGGACAGGTGAGTAAAGCTGGTACAGGTCCAGGCTCCAACTTGGCCCAAGTTCAAGGCCTTTCTATGTCTATATCTGGCTTTCTGACACTAGGGTGCTGAGGACGCAGGCAAGAGGAGAAGTCATCCTGGCCCAGAGAAAGAAAAGACCATTTTGATGATACAATAGATAGCAGGGTTATAACCCCAAGTTTTGAGTCCCTATCCGCAAAAGAAGGAATGAGGGGGGACAATCCTTCCTTGCCTGCCACAAAGCCTCCATATCCGCCCTTGATTTCCTCCTTCTATTCTGTTCTCCCATAGCAGCCAAGGTTCAGGGATTAAGAAGCATAATTGGTAGATACAAGATAGACAGGGGTATGTTAAGAATAGTATAGGAAATGGAGAAGCCAAAGAACTTACATGCATGACCCATCGACATGAACTAAGGGGTGGGCAATGCTGGAGGGAAAGGGGGGTACTGGGCAGAGAGGGGCAAAGGGGGAAAATATTGGGACAACTGTAATAACATGATCAATAAAATATACTTAAAAAACACAGATGACATCAGGTCTCCCCTCTGATTGAAACCTTCTGTCTACCCTTTGGATAAAGCCCCAAGCCCTGTATGGCCAGCATGACTTCTACGAATGTCTTTCCCTGATGTCGCCGCCTGCTGCCCAGAGACACTGGCATTCCTGCAGCTGCACACAGGCGTAAGCGCACGCCGTTCTGCTTCTCGGAGCACTCATTTCGTTTCCACCCGCTTTGCTAGTGAACGCCGCATATCAGTGCGACCGCTCTCGTAGGGGATTTTCCTAACCTTCGCAGCACGTTCAGGTTCCCTGCCAGCTGTTCCCCAAACACCCTGTAGTAGATGCTGTGTGCATGGCTGAGGCCCCTTCAGGACCCGAGCTGTCACTTCCCCAGCTCATAGCTGCACGCAGTCGAGGGGAAATGCCCCCAACACCAAGATTACAGCCCTTCTCCCAAGGCAGCCCACACCCAGTGGCCTGTAGGTGCAGGCGTGCCAGTGTCCAGCCCCTGTGTCTTCATTAGCAACATGACTCAGGACAACTGGACAGGGCCATCATAGAGCTCCGGTGGCACTGGAGCGCCCGGTACAACTCATCGCAGCTCAGCCTCCCCTCCGCCCTGATATCCTCTCCGTCAGTCCTTTTCGGGAACTGTTCCACAGATCCCTCTCAGACCTGCAATAACCTCACAGCTCCTTTCTCGAAATGACTCACTGTTTGTGACTATGTGTGCGGTGAACTGGTGTGAGCATGTGTGCATAGATATGTACTGTACATGATTCCATTTCATATGGGGACATCGGTCTCCATCAGACGGGCCCTCCCGGGGAGGAGACTGCCCAACACATTCGCTGCTGTATTTTCAGCCCAGTTGCTAAAAACCACTCTTGTTCAAAAAATTCCTGTTCAATTTTCTGTTCTTTAATTTTAATAAGGTTGAGCTCTTAGTTTTTAAAAAAAGTATTTATATTTCTTTTTCGTGAACTTCTTGGTTTGTAAGAGAACTTTATCTATAAATCAAATAAATATTTCCTTCCTGTTTTTATTTTTATATCTTTCAATACATAAATGTTTTGTTTTGTTTTGTTTTTTACATTTCATTCTTATGCAGTTAAATTTAACAGTCTTAGTATCCTGGGGCCTGTGTTTTCCTTAGGAAAGACTGCGTTCATATTCCAAGGTGATTAAAAAGAGGAAAAACAAAATCCTGTTTGTTACTTTTTACATTTAGATCTATTTGAACCGTATGAAATTTATTTTTGTGAAAGCATAAATTACGAATCTAGGACTATGCTTCTTTCAGATATTTTGTCAATGCAATAAATATCTCTGGAATAAAGGATAAGGAGGGAGGGAGAATGAGCAAGATACTGACAGAGAGAGGAAGAGAAGGAGGAAGAGAAGGAATAAAGAGAGAGAAGAACAGCTTAAAGAGATGCCAGGGTAAAGAGTGCCATATGTCTCTTGGCTGGGACAAGGGGCATCCATATCTGGAAGTAGGAGGAGAAGAGGTTAGAATGAGTAGTGAATTTAATGAGGGCCGGGGACTGTCAGAGATGGAAACAAAATGCCCTCTACAACTTATTTACATGGGTGAACCTGACACCCAGACAGACTGAATGACTGGCAAAGGTGGCACAGTAATTTACTAGGGACTCCAACTCCCAGCTCAGCCTCCTGATCAGAAAAGAAGAAAGAGCTGCTTTCAACAGGGACTGATGCACAGGGTAGAGGGTTGATCGGAGGGACCTGTAAGGATCCTACCAACTCTGAGATTCTAAGACTCAAAAAGACACTTTTGAAGATCCTTCTGCCCATGAGGTTCTCATAATCAAAGACAAAAGTTTGGAGTTGAATGAAGTGCATCCTGGCACAAAGTAGGTGCTCAATAAAGACCGTATGACTGAGTGTGGATTGTCCTTACCAATAACTGTAATTAGGTGTTCGCCTTTGGATATGACAAGTACTTACTCCATGCGCTTGAGTGATGGCTTATGACAACCTCACTGTCCAGGATGGCTGAGCACATGCCAAGGGAAGTGAGCCCCATGCGGTGGGGCAGCCGAGGGGACTCCCCAGCTCAGGCTCTCATCCAGCCTGTGACACCGGGATGCGTGGCCCAAGGGGCCAGGGCGCAGGTAGAATAATGGTTCCCCAAAGCTGCCCATGCCTGGCCCCTGGGAATGTGTTATCATGTAGATAACAAAGACAGACTTTGGACGATCCAGAGGGGCTGCACCAAAACCCAGGGCTCCATAGAAGTTGGAAAACCTTTCCCAGCTGAGGTCAGGCAGAGGGAGATGTGATGCTGGAAGAAGGGTCAGAGAGATGCAGGGTGTCGCTGGCTTTGGAGATGGAGGAAGGGAACCATGAGCCAAAGAACGCAGGCAACCTCTAGCCCCCGGACCAGGCAAGGAGCCCCCAGAAAGGGGCACAGCCCCGACAGCACCGTGATTCTCGCCCTCTAGGGCCTGTGTAAACTCAAACCTAGAGACTTGGCAAGACAACAAACCTGCAGGGTCTGAGCCACCAAACTTGTGATAATTTGCTACAGAAGCAAGAGAACACTGCTGCAGCCATGAAAGCCCGCACACCAGCCACACGCTTGTCTCTCAGTTCTCAGGATGTCCCACCTCCAGCCCTGCTTTGAACAGCCATCCTCTCTCTTCTCTAGAGCCTGAGCTCCCTAGTAGCAATATGCTGCTTTCTACCATGATCCCCCATTTCTGTCCAGAATGACCTAAAATCTTCTTTGTCATCATGGCCCTGTCCTGAAAGCTCAGCTCCAGACTCAGGTCCTATAGAAACATTGCCTGGCCTACCCCTTCCAGCCCTGTGGGTCTTAAACTCAGGACCCATGGGTGCTGTCTTCACTGGGAAGCTTTCACTGTGCCATTATTTCTGTCTGTGGGTGTGGGTGGGGCTAAGTGTGTGGCATCCATAAAGACTGAACTCTGAGAGAAAGAACCGTGACTCAGTCTACTGGGGAGCCCAGCCCTC